TTTTATATTTTTTAATTAAAAATTAATTAAATGATGATATTTGTATGATAAATGACTTTTTTAACTATCTAATTAATTATTAAATAAAAAACACAATTAACATCATTAAATAAAAAATTAAAATTTTATTATTTTATTTAAAAATTAACAAAATTTACATCTTTAATTAAAAAATAAATTTTATATTTTCATCCATACTTTTTCTCAATATTTGTACGGTATATAATTTGTACTTTATTCTCAATAAAAAAAATTGGGGGAATTTTAGAAAATAATGTAAAGATTGGGGGCAGCAATCCTTTACCCACCTTTTCCATCTTGTCACCTGTAACAGTTAAACCCTTTTTTTTTTTTTTTTACGGTGTGAAATTGTGAATCCAAATCTTTCGGTTAATATAAAATCTTGTAAATCCAACCGTTGATGACATCTTTCCTATGGAATTTCCCCCCTTTTTTTTTTCATTAAATCCCGATAGTATTATACTGAAAAATCGCAACTGTAAGATTGAGGGACACCGGCTAGATAGAGAAATCACAACTTTTAAATCTAGATTGTATTACAATTATAATATCACTTTACATTTGTAAATTTATAATTTTTTTTTATATTTGTTGCGCAATAGGAGAAAACCATTTCTCATCCTTTATCACACTCCATCCGCATGTTATACGATTCGAATTTAAAATTTCTTATTTCTAATAAAAAGAATCAAAGAGATAACCATTGATTTATTTAGATTATTAACGTCTATTTATAATTAAAATAAAGTATTATACAATTAGTTTATTATATTTAAGAATTTATTTATAATATTATTTACATCTGATTATAAGTTTATAATTTTAAGTAATATTATAATTATATTATTATTTTTTTGAAACTTAACCTCATTCAATTATTTAAGTTGTGTAGTTCAGCATAATATAAACAAAAATATTATAGTTAAAATATTATATAATATTATAAGTTTATAGCATAATATGTCATTAAATAATTAATTTTTTCATTTCAAAATTTATTTATAATGTTATATATATTTAAATATTATATTATAATTATAAATTTATAATCTTGCACAATAATATAATTAAATAAATTAATGTTTATTAGCTATACTTGTAAAAAATAATGCAAAAACATATTTTAAAATTATATCATTTTAATAAATCATTATGAAAAAAAAAACTAAAACATTTTCATTCTTATTTTAAAAATAATTAAAATATTTTAATATTTTTTATAAAACTTTATTAAAATAAAATATTTTTTTAATCTAATTTTATATAATACAGATTGATATCCAATTGTCCATAATATAAATATATCACTGTCAAATCTAAATTACATGCAAAAAAAATCTCAGCAGTATATACGTACCAGAAAAATTCCACTCCGTAACAAACAGGATCATGGAGTTGAGGTAAACATGGCTAGAGATTAGAACCATCAGAAGTGAATTATATAAGGTCACCGTACCCTGGAAAGGCGAGGAAATGAGTGGTGAGGTGGCGATAACATGCCGATTATTTCTACTACGAAAAGGGGGCCGACCCCTAAATATCTGATGGTGATACTACGACTGGGGGGAGTACTGGGGGGAGTGGCTGGCACTCTGCCCACTGCACTCGCTCTTTTTCTCATTTTAGGTGGAATTTTAACATCCCAACGTACTCCCAACAAAAAGCTTCATCACAACCAACCGCTCCCCTGTGCTGCCCCAATTTCTTCTGCAGAAAAAAGGAAGATTTCAGTTTCTTCTTTTTCTGTTTATCGTTTTGCTCTTTTCCTGCCTTTATAATTCTTTTCATATATATATATAGTAATATTATACAGTACCCTCGCTGAACCTTGACTTTGTTTTATTTATTTATTTATTTAAGTTTCAACCCTCCTCTGTTTTGCTCTGATTCAGAAGCCGGATTGGTGTTCTGTGTTTTTTAGGGTGAATTTGAGACAAGGGGAAATGGGGTTTGTGGGGAGGTGTGGGAAGAAGCAATATTGGAGGAGTTTGTTTTGGAGAATGAAGGCTGCAGTGAAGAAGGTTGTGAAGGATGGGGGTGCGGGGAAAAGGCAGTTGAAGTTTCAGTATGATCCTTCCAGCTATGCTCTCAATTTTGACGATGGGTGTTACAGTCTTGGTGGAAGAGGGAATGGAAATCCAATCAAAGATGCTGGGTTTCAGGATTGTTCAGCAGATAGCAAGAGCACAAGTGCTACTACTACCATCTGGGTTTATGTTCTTTGGGTGAAATCTTAAGTAAAGTTTGTTTCTTCTGTTCTGAAGAGGGTGAGTCAAGCCATCAAGGTAGCTCCTTTTTGGGTCTGGCTTCACTTGGTAGACAGAATAGTATGAGGAGAGAGAGAGAGAGAGAGAGAATTTCTCCATTGATAATGTTACATTTTCAATTCTTGATGTTCCATTTCTGTGTTTGTTTTTGAACATTCGTACTGTAAATACTGTCTCGAATCTTCCATGCTTAAGAAGAAAAAAACCGTAAGAGCAGTCCCCACAACCAACCCCCCCTTTCCATATTTTTTTTTTCTTCTTTTCTTCTTTGGGCGAAAGAGAAAAGAGCTCTTCAGTCTCCAATTGGAAGCTATATTCACACCTTAACCGGTAACTAGGGGAATGAACTGGAGGGTGTAAAAAAAGGTTTTTTTTTTTTTTTTATTTGGCTATAAATAGGTGAAGAGAGTGGAGCAGAAAAACCTTTTTTTGTTCTTTATAGTTAATTTTAAAATTTTAATTAAGTAATTAGTTATAGAGAGGAGGAGAATGGAAAGAATGAAAGAATATAATTACTCTCAACTCAAATATAAACAAAGTCTTCATCGCCCAGGCAGGAATGCTGCAATAAGATAAACGGCCCTCAACGTAGACAAGTTTGAACCAAATGAAGCTCTGACATAATCAATGGGAGAAGTTGCACTCCATTAGTATTAGGAGCAAAGATTTAATTGTCGAATGGATTTCCAAGTTCCAAGGGTAGAAAGAGAGAAATGCATTTGAAGAGAGATTATACAAGAGCCCGAGCCCACTTGCAGTCGTCTAAGAAAGTAAAAAACCAATCAAATGCTGCTAAATTCTATAATGAAATGAGACAGAAATCAAATCTTAACAAATGGCATCCAACAAATTCCCAGCTGAAATTACTGTGATGAGAGTACATGCATGATCAATCCATATCACTTGGCTCTTTCTGTCCAATGTCAAGGAGCTGATTCCTCCACAAGCTGGGCCTTTCACACTGCAGGATCTTCAAGTACAGCACTAGACAAATCATTTATGCGAGGATAAGCAGCTTTTTCATCAAGCTGGTTCTGGGCCCATATCAGCATCTTCAGCAAGCTTGGAAGCTTTGGGTCTGTTATCCACCGTTCAGAAAGGTTAGTTAATTCTTAGTGATGGGATGAAAGAACAGTCACAGACTCACAGGTATCAAATGAAATCATCAAAACCTTCAAGTTTTCATAAGAAAAACCAACCGGTTGGTGTGATGTAACAATGCAATCATAGCATAAACCTTGTCATCTTCCTTTTGTTGATAAATGACGGAAGAAAGTACACAGAGCGCATTATGCCTTCAAACTAAGTTCCAACCAATAATGTATCAACATGTGACCAACAGCACAAAAGACAAACCTTTTTCATGACTCTGGCTTGTAAGGATGGCTGCATTCACCTCACTTGCCGTCTTTAGGCGCTGTGACATGTCTAGGAGCTCACCAACTGGACAATTAGAGACATCTTCAAAAGCCAGTAGAGCAACAGTCCTCTCCAACTCTTCCAAAAAGCTTTGCTGCAATTAACTCCCTCTTAGAACCAAGTTTTGGCAGGGAATACTTTAAAGATGGCTTCATGGTTAATAAAAATTAATGATGCTACAAAAGCTCATAAGAAAACACAATGAATTAGTAATTACATTTTCTTCTCCCCTAGGAGCCAGTTCCTCCTGAGCAAATTCCAAGGCTTCTTCTACTTTGCCATTCCGAATTAGTTCTATCAACCTCTGCTGTTGCAGATGAAAAAAGAGTTGGGGATTTGTATCCAATATCTGCAATTTTTATTTTTTATTTTTTGGAAAAAAGAAAATCAAACAGTTAAAATTTGGGTCCAAAAACAATAAGTATGACTATGACATATATGGTGCTTCAATGTTGAAATCATATGCCTTAAAGAACGGAAGATTCCACTTCAATCCAATCATGTATCACACAGTTCACCATTATCAAGAGTTTTACAAGTATTGAAGCTCATACATTTCACTCAACTACAAAAATAAGCACTGTGCATTGCACCACTCACAGACTAGAAAGTCCAAAATTAATTTTAGTATTATTGTTTATTGCAGCTACACAGCACAGAAATAAATGGTGACAAAAGAAGAAATAAATAAACCCTAACCAAAGCACAGTCAGTATAACATCACTTGAATGTACTACCTGCTGTAATAAAGCATCCTACCTCAGGATTTAAATCATTAACTTTCTCAATTGCATCTTCAACATTTCCACATTGTACAGCCTTTTTAACAGCCATGCGATCAGTGATAGTCCCAAGATTTATATCTGCTATTTGTTCATAAGGAAGAACATGTGAACTAAAACAAAATCACACTATAATAAAATAATATTAGACAAGAAATGAGATTTAACATCATTTTAAAGGATACGTTCCGTTCCAGATTCCATCCGGAATTTTTCTGCAGCCTCATCATAACCCTCAGTGACTAGAAAATTCATCACCAATCTATTCATGTCTTCTTTCCTGATTTTTACATCATTGAGTTTCTTTTCCCATTCTTCCCTAGTAATAACTTTCTTTGATGTAGCCTGCAAATAAATAATCTAAATATAAGCAAGCTACCATGTTTGGAGAAATGTTTCAAATGATTTCCAGGAATATCAAAGAAGAGAAAAAATCCCATAACAGCACAATGTCATCTATTGTCACTTTTCAGAAATCAGTTGTATTCAAAAGGAAAACCAACTCCTAGATGAACTAGATTCAGCTGTGAGAAAAAAGGCAAGGGCAAGCAAGTACCTATTAACATAAGATTTTATCAAGAAAAAGAAAAAGAAGCTATATTTAATAATGAACATTATCATCATTTGGGTTGTAAGAATTCTCCTTCCACTTTCCAATATTCAAAACCTTCAATTCATAACAAAACAAGAACAAAGACCAAAACTAAGTATGTCCAAAAAGATAAAATTTTCACTTCTAAGGTTACACACAACTTCAATCTTTTCCCTTCAGAAAGAATATGCTACGAACCCAGCACTAGTAAGAACAAAATTCTTTACTATACACAGCTAGGCAGCAGCAAAATGCATACTTATTAACCATATCAGACTGAAACAGCCAGCAATGATTTCCCATTTCCATTGATATGGACGAAAATGACCACTTTAATATCCTCAAACATCACAAATGAATAAATTACTTTAAACAAAATTAACCAAATACAAACTAGAAAGAAAAACAAAAAATTACCATTGCTTCGATCTCTGCTAGTTGACGAAACACAAACAAGAACAGTGACATCAGTGCTCCACCTCAACTCCCATTTGATAACCCAATACAACCTCCAAAATTCCTACATAAAGACAATCGTAAACACATCAGATTCTAACAAAATCGAAACCTCTACGTTCCAAAGATCTGAACTTTCAGCGCCATGGTTGCCCCATGCAGCAAGAAACCCTAAATTCGATGGGAACTTCAATCCCATACCATGGCAGAGTGAGAAACTTAATGGGGTTGAAGAAATTACCTCAAGAAAGAAGCTTTAGTGGCGAATTTTAGTAGTATAAACGAATTCTTGGATATCAATCGAGTTCTTGCTTCGATCTCTTTCTTCCTTCCTGGGACAACCTTCTTTTCCCACTTATTTATTGCTTTCGGGTTTTTTGTTCTTGGGTATGGATCCGGTTCGGTTGTTTTGGGGTTGACCGAATAATGGGCCACTGGGCCTCAACCTCAAGGCTCAAGTAAAGTGAGCGTCAAATTTCAGATTTGGGCTCACTTTGAATTTTGTTTCTTTAGGCCGAAATTGAATTTCGATTTTTGTTATTTCAGTCTTTTGTTTGGTTTTACTGTTTTCGTATATTTGTTGATGTTTGAACCCAAACTTTTTTTTTTTCAAAAAAAAAAGTTAACTCTTAACAATAACTTTAAATTAAAATTTTTACGTTTGGAGATACAAACTCTACCAAATTACTAGTTGTTGCACTATTACTTAACATATAACCAAAAAAAA